ATTGAAAATATCGGGCTGTTTTCTGTTTGAAGTTTAGTTTTTACCAAAGAGGATTGTTTTGCAGTTTTTGTGAGAAAGTGATTCGCCTGCCAATTTCAATGATTTCCTTGTCAGGAAACAAGAAAATGACTTCTTCTGTGTCGGCGTGCAGCTGCCTGGGCACAGGCGTCGATCCACGGTGGTTTTGTTGAAAGCGCTGCAACCACGACGTAGTTCGCGCAATAAGGCTGTGTGTTCCTGCCTTTGATGGCTAACAGTTTGAGTTAATTAGAAATCGCGCAAATTCAATTTCAAGCTGTAGTCATTAAAATGTCTTGCGTTCTGCTTCCCCACTTCAGAAAACCCCCACACTCCAGCGTTTGTCATATAACGAACGAGTTTATAGCTTTCCAAGGTCACAATGTAATGTAAAATATATTTCTTGATTTGGAAGTTATCCGGTTCAATTCATCCTCGTGATTTGCAGCCGCTAACGGGTCCTTTGTTCACCCCCCAGATGTCGTCTACAGACATTGGCGTCAGTTAAATGTATTCCTTTACAAGGCATGTTAAATAAATGTCGTCTATAAACCCCGTGGTTAGTCGCCTACACGTTTATGGGACTGAAAGATGGCGTCATCGTCTCTCTGGATGAGTACAATGACTTCGAAGAGAACTGGGGAAAAGGTCAGTTCGCAGAGTTAAGCCCGAGTCAGTCACAAGGATGCCAGATAATAAGTACACTTCTTTGTTTGTTTGTTCTGTCTGACGACAGGTCCATATGAACAGGATCTTTCCATCCTTTTCTCGGACTGGGACCTGTTCATATACGTTCTTGGCAGATGATCCAGAAGTGGTTTGCCATTGCCTTCTTCTGTGTGTGAATGGGATGCCACGGAGAAACCGGGGAAGCCCCCGGAGGAAAACTCCGTGTTGCCTAGACCACGGCCTTGCCCAACACAAGTTATAAATTCGGGCACCGCCGGGAATCGAACCCGAGGCCAGCGTTCTAACCGCTAGACCACCGTGGCGGTATAGAATAATAATATGAGATTTCAGGTTCTAAAGGCGGTTTGAGTTGTCGATTGTGGTATTCTAGGTTATGTCGCCGTGTTGCATTGTATGTGGTTACCGATGTTTCGAAGGATCGTACTGTTTCCATCTTCACCCTAACGATGGATATTCTTCTAAAAATATCACAACCACCTGCAAAATTAGAAAGCCTCGCAATTCGGAATATCGCAGTCGACACAGATTATTAGCTACAGACAGGCCAAAAATATTGTCGGTAGATTTCGCCAACTTCAACCCTGAAGATAGAGATACAGTGTGTTTATCTGAAAGGTTGCCATCTACCGGCAAGTGTACACGGCGCCAAAACCCAGACCATCATCATAATCATCATCATGAAACATGTTACCTGCTTATTCATACGTGGTAATTTTGTGTTGAAAATCAGCTCGCGTATTGGGTATCTCTTAACTGCTGATCGACCGGAGTTATTTTTGTTGGTGCCTGAGTAACATGAGGTGCGCAGTGTACGGGTTGTGTTCGTCTGCGCAGGGGGCTGAGATGTGCTTCTGCGTATTTTCTTCAAACTGTGACCTAATTTTCCGTCTAGTGCAGTTTGTTGTGATGCATTAATGCAGTATAAATCGAACCCAAAACTTAATAGACAGTGAAGTATATAATTCTTCTTCCTCAGAGCAGAGAACGAAATTCTCTGCGACATCTGACACGAGAATAAACGAAATAAGATGTATTATGCTTCTAACCAACGAATCCTTTCTTAAAAAGTAGATCAGGCGACGAAAACACGATAACCTTCATTTTAACCGCCATTGGGAATTCTAAATTAACCCGACGTTTCGGTTTTAGTGATTGGTCTAACGCGTTTTTCACGGTGCATCATCCCAGAAAACAGACACTATTTAAAACTCTTTGCATTTCGAAACGTTTATAAATATTTGCTTTGTTCTGCGACTTGCCATCAGTCATCGTTTTCTGCTGTAATTGCGATGTGACGTTTTCTAGGAGGTTAGGATGGTTTTCTTCTGGGTTTTCGCTCAGAACTTTCGGTAAATGCCAGTGTTTCGGAGATACACGCTTTCTCCGTTTTCAGGGTTGAAGTGGCGTTGTATAGTGAAGGGATTTATTGTTTAAAG